GGCAATGGGTCAATTAAAACAGACTTTCAAGGGGGAAAAAAAGAGGAATGAACTGGGGTGGGGAAGGTAGAGAAAATAGTGCAACAATGAATGAATGGAAACCCAAAACCTCTGTAAATGTTCATTAAAATTAATAAAATTTAATAAGAAAAAACCCAAAAAACCTGGAGCTGTTAAAATCACTAAGCACAAGAAGGCTTACTTCATTATACCTCTTGGCTACACAAGTGAGTAGGAGGAAATGAAAGGTGATGGTGATTTTTCAAGAGAATTACTATGTTCTGAAAAAAACTTCCCACCAGTGTGGTTGTTCAGTGCTCAATAAGAATGGAGGCGTGGACTGCAGTTTTTGAAAGTATGACAGATTAATGTTATATATAGAATAAAGCAGGAGGGATTCTTTACAAAGGAGCTTTAATAACCTTCAATACCACTGATGCTCATAAAGGGGAAATCATTAAAAATGACATTAACCCAATTGGTACCCATATAGCCAATGGCTGTATCTGCAAATTTCAGTACTAGATATATAGTGGTCAAACGCTTGTTCAAGACTTTCATGAGAAGACAGTGAAATGAATGGACAGTCTGGAACCCATCAGTTCACACCGTTAGGGTAATGAAGCTGACAATCTTTTCAGAAGTAGGTGACGTCTGCTTGAGGACGGGGGAGTAAACCCAGAAGTTATTTGCAGCAGTTTTAGAAAAGCTGAAGTTTAAAAAACAAGGAACTCATGCAATATTATTCAAAATGGTTGACTCTGGAGAACATTATGCTGAGTGAAATATCCCAGTCACAAAAGGACAAATATTACATGATGCCACTGTTGTAGAATGGGACTGTCCTTGGGGCTGGGGAGAGACTGAGTAAGATGGGTTCAATAATGTGTACTGCACTGAAACAGAGGAGGGAGAGAACAGTTTAAAAGAGAGATGTAACTGGGTATTTCTGTCATCACAGGAGACTAGAGCGAGGGCTGCATGGTGGAGGGGACCTGGGGGAGGGTTTGTAAAACAATGAAAGAATCTTTTCTTTTACTTTTCCATAATTTTTGGACTCATGTACTTATAACTTGTTAGTCAAATTTGTGTCTTCTAGGTTGCAACACCCCCATGATACATCTTCAAGGATATGAACATGTACGGCCAAGCACAATCAATGAATGCATCTAAATTCCAAAATCAATCTCCATAATAGTCTACGTGTTTCCTACTGCCAAAGGGGCCCTTTAGAGTAGTGAGAGAAGATCTTCACCCTGAAACCCACAGCGTCCCTTTTCAGCAGGAAGTAGCTAAGAGAATACGCCATCCCCTTTTCCTTAGGACTCAGGGTGAAGTCTGTCTCAGGGAGGAGTGATAGGGAATGGCAAAGGATACACTGACAAAGAAGATTAATCAGAACTGGCTTTGACAAGCACTGTGGCATTTGGACAAGAACAAACTGGGAGGAGGGTAGAGAGAATAATGCAACAATGAATGAGTGGAAGCCCAAAATCTCTGTAAATGTTTATGAAAATTAATAAAATATAATTATAGAAAAAAAAAAGAAAAGCTGAAGTTGTGTATCAGCTGGATTGTGATGACAAAGATGGAGATGCTGAAGGTAGGGATGGTGACATGAGTTGGGAAGTCAAAGGAATGTTGTCTACAGGCGGCCCTGCGATATTTCAATGATGATAATGATGAGGGATCGGGGAGTGGCACGATGACAGCGATGAAGATAATGGATATGATAAAATGGCCTCCTTTAAGCTGAAAACATATTCATCCAGTGATTTTTTCAGTCAATAATTTCAAAGACATTTTGTAAAACATTCAGGTTTCAGTTTAAGATTCATAAAAGTATCAAAATACAGAGGACCTTGTATTAATTTTTTCCCCCTTTTCTTCTTGTGTACCATCACATCAGATCCAGCTGGTACAGGAAGAGCTTGCCCCTCCTTCTCCAGGAGAGCATCTGGATTTGAACCATGCACCTTCAGGAACACAGTGCAGCTTTTTTGCTAACAGGCCACCAGAACTCCCACAGGCTTTTCTTATTATAGATTTAGGTTTCTTACTAATTTCTAACTCTCCATGCTTTATTTCAACCTCAGTTCAATCATGAGCCTGTTTAGCACCATTGGTTGCATTTTCTTTAGGAAAATACCTACCTTAAAAGAAGTTTCTAGCAAGGTCTTGTGGCCTAGTGGCAAGAAGCTACACTGCAATCCCAAAGGTTAGCAGTTTGAATCCATCAGATGCTCTTCTGGAGAAGGAGGGGTAATCTCCTCCTGTACCAGTCAGATCCTATTTGATGGTACACACACAAAACAATAATATAAACTTAAAAAGGCAGTTTCTATGAAATAAATTTTATCCCTAGTTAACACTGAATCCATTGAAAAGAAAAAAAATAGAAGCTGGCAATAGGTTAAAAATATTGGTATAATTATGAAAATAATGCATGCACATTACATTGTTTTAAAAATGTTTAATATGAATGCTATTTGTATAAAATATGATACATTTTTCTTATAATAAGGAAAAGAAATTTTATAATTTCTTTTCTCAACTAGCATCCTGATTTATTTTTGTTCTTTTAAAGTTCATTTACTTGCATTGTTTTATCAAACATTTTTAATCTGTTTTGTAATTCTTTGAAAAAGAGAGTGTATATCAGAATATAAATAATACTTAGAATTTTTTCTTAACCTTATCAAGAAGGAGAAAGATAGGCAATCATCTCCCATATGATTTACAGCCTTCTAAAACCCAATTTGAATTTAAACCAGTACACAAACAGTAATTCAAGACAAGATCAAAGACAGAAGTCTTTCAATATGGATTGCATCTCAATGTCTTAAAAACAAAAATTCTCACAATTGGACATCATCATGATAGATAGAGAAAAGAAGACTGAAATTGTCAAAGACTTTAATCTTACTTGGATCCACAATCAACACATTCAACACAGTTGGTACTGGCAGTCAGCAGATCAGAGGATGTACCTGGAAAGACTTCAATCAGGGATGTCTACAAATAACTGAGAAGCAATGATGTCAGTTTGGAAATGAATGTGTGTCATGGCCTTTTCAATCACTTGCAAGGCATTTGAGAGCTGGACAAGGAATAAGGATGACAGAAGAATTGCTTTTGAGTTGTGTAGCTGGAGAAGAGTACTGACTGTCCCATGGATTGCCAAAAGAACAAACAGGTAAGTCTTAGAGAAGGTGCAACGAGAGTGCTTCTTGGAGGCAAATATGATAAAGCTTTGTGTCACATACTTTGGGCATACTGCTAGGAAAGGCTGTTCATTGGAGAGGGACATGATGGTTGGGAAATTGGAGGGACTGCAAAAGAGAGGAAGACCTTCAACCAGATGGCTTGACACAGTGACTGGAGCAAATGGCTCAAGTATGTCAGAGATGATGAAGATGGCACAGGATAGAATAAGGTTCAGATGCCTTGACTCGAAGGCACCTAACAACAACAACAACAACAATAAAACCCATTGGAGGGTCAGCTATGATTTGGTTCCAACGAGATGAGATGATGTCTTAAAAAAAAATCAGTTGATAAAAAACCCTAGATTTCTGGTAGATACATTTACCAATTCATTGGTATAAAAAAAAGGTAAAATTTTTGGCGAGCTCTGGTGGCCTAGTGGTAAGAAGCTGCAACTGCAATAGCAGAGATACATGGTTCGAATCCACCAGACGCTCTGCTGGAGAAGGAGGAACAATCTCCTCCTGTACCAATCAGATCTGATTTGACGGGACACACAAAAAATAATGAAATAAAAGAATTTAAAAAAAGAAAAGGTAAAATTTTCATTAATTTTTAAATGTCACTTTTGTTCTAATTAACTCTTAGTTACAGTTTCTGAACTATATTTTAGTAATTCTGCTTGTGATTAATCTCAATTTAGTTAATAATTTCTTTAAAGTTAAAGGTTCCTTTTAAAGAACTTTCTCTGCTTGATACCTTTAATATTTGTTTCACAAAACTATGTATTTAACATGATAACATATATAATGTGGTTTTTTCTGTTTCAAATAGTAAAAACTAATGACACTGATGTTTTTTAAAATATTATTTGAAAAGGTTTTAAATTAATATTTTGAAAAAATGATTATTATTAAAACATACTAACTTTATAGAAATATATCTTTTTGCATTGTATCAAGAAATTTGGTAGCACTTTAAATGTCTCCTGAAAAAATATAGTACAGTCATTAGGAATGTGGGATATCTTATATCCAAAGTATATTTCAATTTCATGTATAAAACTCTTTTAAGGAAACAATTAAAATAAACCACCACTTGGATTTTTTTTGTACTTTATGTAATGCCTCTTAATGTAGAAGAATGCAAAAAAAAAAACCCCAAAACCCAACAAACAAAAACAAAACAAACCCAAACCCACAAACAAAGAAAACCATCAAACAAGTATCTGGAAATAAAACCTCTATGTCATGTGCTACTGAGTATTTGAACACAGTAACTCAGAGGAAGGGAAAAATATTTCTTTAAGTACAAACTTTTTAAATCAGTGTATAATTAGATGTAAAAAAAACCCCTAACATTTTTCATAATTCATAAGAACCTGAGGGAACTCTGGTGGCATAGTGGCAAGAAGCTGCACTGCACTCCCAAAGGCACACGGTTGAAGGCCACCAGCTGCTCCACAGGCAAAAGATGGGTAATTTTCTCCTGTGCAATTGACAAACTGCCTTTGAAAACCTGCTATAGGGTCAGCTATGGGTCAGTTCCGACTCAGTGGTACACAACAACATAACAACCTGAACATGAATATCACAACCCCTAATTCTGTCTGTCTTTAGGAGATCAGGGTAATTTTCTTTAATTGTGATAAATTATTCAAGGACACGTGAACAAAAGTACAACAGATTTTTCACACACACACTCATCAAGAGTATATTTATTTTATGTGTTGTACAAATAAAACATTTTTGATGATCAATGAAAATACTTTCTGATGTTACTAAGAATTTTTTTCATAATCGAACTCCTTCCATTATTAAAGACAGTTCAGTACTTTCTGTATCTAAAGGGTAAGACACAGGCCTCTTTGATGAATGACAATATGTTTGTCTCATTTTACCCATACAATTATTATATCTTTTAGACAAACTAAGTTTAGTCATACCCCAATTGACAATAAAATTTAAATCCTCTGGAAGCAAAGTGTTTGATTCTCTGTGGTTGTCTCTTAGTTTAGCACCAAGAGTCTTCTTTGGCTTGTGTTTACTATGCCTCAATTCTTTAGTCATCTTCTGACTTTTGTCAGTCTCACTGGCATATGGGCTTCCCATCCCAGTAGGATAGCTAACCTTCTGTGGAATAGAAGGAAGACATGTTTGAGATATTTTTCCAAGTGATCCGGCAGGTAAATCTTGAAGATACCTGGGGAAATGTTGACTAATTTTATATTCAGAAATTAAATTTCTTGAATATGTACTACCTAATTCAGTAGAAGGTAAATGATCTATTTCCATATTCCGATATGAATCTGTTGAGCTTTGAGGTGTATTTAAGTTTTCAGAACTCCTTTGAGGAATGCTAGGTAAAATTCCAAGTCTGTTTTGCTTTAAGACTACTTTGGTACCAGGAATAAAAAGTCGTGGTTCTTGCTTTGACGGATGAGTGATGTTTGTGTTTGAAACAGACTGACGTGCTTTTCCATTCAGTCCTGTATCTTCCCAGATTAAAGGATTATATATAACTTGTCTGTCTATAGGGCATGAATTGCACTTGTGGAGTAACCAATTGTCAATACATTTCCTGTGAAACTTAAAAAACAAGACGTTATAAGTTAAAGGGGCCTATAATTACATTTTTTTATATTATACATTACTTATATAGAATTTTCCCTAATTGTGTAACTATTAAAACTATTTAGCAAAATAGAAGTTATTGTAAGTAATTATAATTTATCAAGCTTTATAGAAATATTTTTGAATAATTCAATTATCTACATAAATGGTTATAAAGTGATCTCTATTTTGTTCATCAAAATTGAAATCTAATGGATATTATTACTTTTGTAATTTTGAAAAACTCATTATTGATCATGCCATTAATTTCACTGATATCTGATTACTTCTAATGAATAAAGATTATTAAAATATAAAGTGAAAATGGATTAGAGTTAAAAATAGGCCTTATGACACCAAGATATAATACAAACTTCATCATTGAAAAAAGAAAATACAAACCATGAGATATTTTACAGCCAGGTGACTTTAAACATAGAAAAGGTTTTTACCGAAAAAACTTTTTTCCTCAAAAAGGGTTTTCTATTCATTTTTGTCTAACTATATCAAGTGATCTTAGACTTTGGCTCTAGTCATTCTTCTAATTAACTATGGTAAGTGCTCTGGTGGAGTTGTGCTGCGAACTCAAAAACGAAACCACTCTGTGGAAATCCTGAGGTTCCTCAGGAAAAAAGACGAGCACTTTCCTCCACGGGTGGGAGTCACAGCACGAGAAACCCATTCAGTGAGGGATCATTTCTGGTTCAGTTCTGACTTCATGGCAATGAGAAAGTTAAATTAGGTATATGTTTCATCCAAAGACTAGTAAAAACACATGAAGATATGTTAGTATGCTTTATGTTTTGCAGACAACTAAGAGATTAATGAAATTTAACTGAAAGTGACACTGTCTTCTCTAGACACAACATGCACAAATGAATCCTAAGCAATAGGAATCTACACCGAAGGGACAGATCTGCTTTCTAATCAGGCTCTACAGCAATTCTTTCATATATATTTGCTAAATATATAACTAAGAAGTGAAAGGAGAGAGGTCTAAATTGTCACTACATTTGTCAAAACTGGCCCTATAGGGAAGTCAAGTTAAAATAATGTGATTCCTTACCTTGTGAGTACATGGGAGCAATCTTATACGTTGACCAAGAAGAAATGCCTTCAAGCAAAGTAGACATTGGTAGCCTGGGGCAAGCAGTTTACTATTTTTTGTAATCAATGAGAGAGGTAGTGACTTCACAATCTCCTTTGGTGTATAAACCTGGCTGAAGACCAATTAACAGAGAGACATGAGTGTGTGTGTGTGTGTGTGTGTGATTACAGATAAGATGCAATAAATAGTATCAATACCATGTTGTTGATTGCTGTCAGCATGACTCATAGCGACCCTGTGAACAAAAGTCTTGAAGCTTTTCTATAGCTATCTTCATTTATCTAAGTTCCTAGTAGTTCTGGAGGCATGTTGTTTAGGAAGTGGATGCCACTCCTACCTCCACATAAATAATCCAACTGACTCAAGATTCCTTTGAACTGAAGTTTATAAACTTACACATCTTAAAGTTGAAAAAAAATCTCAGCATTGATCCTAAACCAGATTAACTTCAATATCAACTTTATAAAGAATAAAGTTTACATTAGTTAGCAATTTTTAATCAACTTAGTAAAAATTGTTTTTGAACTTTTTAAATATCAATGAAGCCAGAAAGTATTTTGATGCAAATATGCTCAAATTATTTTTGTCTAAGCCCAGCAACTCAATTACTTGGTCAGCTGGTGAGAAATGAGATACATAATCAGCAACATGAAATATTCTATGGTACAAGGTTAAGTTGGTAGCTGATAGTCTGGGAAGAAATGGTTTCCTTGTAAATATGGCTTTTTATTTCAGTGTTGTTGGACTACATTAATATAACTCTAAAAAATATATTCTTTGTACTAAAAGTACCAATCAACACACTAAGATGACACACTGTGAATTAACTGCTGTCAGATGCTATTACCAACAAGTAAATAGAGACAACAAAGACTTAAAAGCACAAGTTTGTTTAAAATGTTTGATACATTTCTATCATTCAAAAGAGCAAAATCCAAACAAATTCCTCAGGTAAGTTCCCATTTCTCATTACTCTACAGATAATAACCTGTCATGATACAGAGATTGATTTTCATAACACCCATCTAATTATTAAATTTATAAACAAAACAAAATGACAACATTTTATCCTTTTGGTTGTTAAGTACTTTTTTTATCTTGAAACTCTTTTCCTTTTTTTAAATTTTATTTTATTAATTTTTAATGAACATTTATGGAGATTTGGGATTTTCATTCATTGAAACTCTTTTCCTTTATTCCTTGCAGAACTCTTACAAACAGTTGCAGCCCTGTAAGGCTCGCCAGGTTGTGCCAAGAAGTCTGGAGGACAACCACCCGACCAACTGACTGGATGAGATCCATATTTATTCCCATTTTTTTTTAAAAAAGGTGATCCAACACAGTATGTAAATTATCAAACAATATCGCATGCAAGCAAAATCCTGCTGAAGATTATCCAAAAGCGATTGGAACAGGATATCAATAGAGAACTATTAGAAATACGAGCTGGGTTTAGAAGAGGCTGTGGCACTAGTGACATTATTGCCAATGTCAGATGGATCTTGGCTGAAAGCAGAGAGTACCAAAGGAATGTCTTTCTGTGTTTCATTGCTCTTCTGCAGGAAGCATTTCAAGACCTCTTCATGTTCAATAATGATAGATAACATTATTGAATATTTATTATGTGACTGAACTACTTTTATACAAAATTTCTATAAGCTTGATTCTATCAATATCTCTTCACTTAAAGATAAAGGAACTAGGCAGAGAGGATTGGAATAATGCCCCTAACTTATAGAGTCAACATGAGGTTGGGCTAGGATTAGATTAGGTGGTCTGATTTGCTTTTATTTTGTTTATTAATGATGGGCAATCTCCTCCCACTTGATTTATAAAAAATCCTCTAGAGGGTCATTTACGAGTCACTTCTGACTTGTAGCACACACCAACAATTGGATAGATGCTCAGTTAAGTATTTAGGGAGCCCTGGTGGTCTAGTGGGTGAGGGGTTGCAATGCCAACCCAGAGGCAGGCAGTCTGAATTCACCTGCTTCTCTGAGTGAGAAAGATGAGCAATTTCCCCTCATGAAATTTAAAGCCTCTGAAAACCCACTGGAGGGTCAGCTATAGTCGGTTTTGACTTGACAACAATGACATGAGGCAGTATTTGCTGAATGAAGGCATGAATAAAACTTATTCAAATTTAGAAATTATTCACAGATCTCATGCAATAAATACAAATCTCACCTTTGCTTTTCTTGAAACTGTGGCAGCTTTTCTTCCCTTTCATCTTTAATATCTGTATATTTAACAATTTCATTTGATCTTTCTTCCAGTGGTCTCCATTTTTGGTTTCTTTTCTGTAACAGGTAAAAAAGTAGATATTATGTTGAATAAATATGAAGGAAATTTTTATTTTTGAGATTAATATTTATAATATACATACCAATAATATAATGTGAATAATATAGAGTCAACATTTTAAAATATAACTATTATTTTGTACCACATTAAAAATGTATGAACTATTAATTTCTCATATACTACTTATATAGCAATAGCTATTATGACATATTAATAAAGCAAAGAAAATGTTGATTACTTAATAAATGGAAGACTTATTACAGCATTAAGAGATACTATTTTAAAGTGTGTAATTCAAATAATTTCAACAAAACTTTCTTATTTATTAAGAAATTTTATAAAATGATTATCAGTCTTTATATTATAAATCACTTTGTAAGGTAGAAGTTTAAAAAAATTTGATGACTACAATTCTTATCTCTATGATTTTTATATAATGTCATCAGATGTTTGAATTGTATATAATTTTATAAATGACTAGTGTAAGAATTGGTTGCCTTCTAAGTCCCTATGTGAAAATTAATCAACTTTTGTTGCAGGATGTTGCGGAGGAAAAATAGGGTCTCTGGCCAGAACAGATTGCCTAAGCTCCAGATAAGTGCAAGCCTCCCAATGGCCTTTAATATGGGATAGAGAAAGCTCCCATGTTTGGCTGTATTGTCTTGAGAAAGCTCACCACTTGAGAAGACAGCTGCTGCGTCTGTAGAGCTGGGAATGGTCCACTCAAGGCTTAGGTTCTCCTAAGCAATCTACATGTCCCATGTCTGCAAGCCCACCCTGTCCTGTTTTTCTGTGTATATAAGTGCACTGCTTATCCCAATAAAACTGAGCTGGATTCACTCTCTGATTCTCTCCCGGAGTGGCGTCTCTGTTGTGCTTACTCCCATCATGGTGTCGCTGTTAATTTGTTTATATCCCAGAATGTTATTTATTCATATTATTAGGTTAATGACAGAGCAAATAACACACAACATTAAAGATGGATACTGTACCTCCCGATACAGAAATATATGGGAAAAATGGCAGCAATTATCAAAACATTCTTGGCATAAGTGATATTCAATACATTTGGTACACCTAAAAATGCAAAAAATAAAAATCCGATTACTTGATGGTTTTTGGTAAAAAATTCCAGCCATACTTTGGGAACTATCTGGCTTTGAGACTGTCTATCTCCAAGTCTCACTGTATTACTTTTATATTGCTGCCATAACAAATTATAACAAAGTTAGCATATTTAACATAAATTTACCCTATTACAGTTTAGATAACCAAAGTCTGACATGAGTCTTACTGGTTAAAATCAAGAGTCTGGATCAGTTACATTTCTTCCTGGAGACTTCAGGCCATGGCCTTGCCTTTTGCAACGTCTAGAGACTGTCGACATTCCTTGGGCTGTGCTGTAGTTGTTGCTCGGGATCTTTGAGTTGAGTATGACTCATAGCAAACCTATGAGCGACAGATTTGAACTTTGTTTTATTGTGTAACATCTTTATCATCTCTGGTACACTTGAGTTTGTTGGTGCAATCATTGTATCAATTCATCTCATTGAGACTCTTCCTCTCATTCACTGAACATTCCAATCATGACATCTCTTTCCAAGAAAAAGTCTCTCCTGGCAACATGCCTGAAGATCATGAGATGAAGTTTCACCATCCTTGCCTCTATAGAAACTCTGGCTGCACATTTTCTAAGATGTATCTGTTTGTTCTTATGGCAGTCCATGACTATTCAACCCTCTTCTCCAGCACGCAACTCAAACCCTGAATAATTCTTCCTTTGTCATCCTTATTCATTGTCTAGTTCTTAGATACTTAGCAAGTAATTGGAAAGACCATAGCCTGAACTGGGCACATTTTAATCTTCAAAATGACATCATTCTTTCCCAGTAACTTGTAAAAGTCCTTGATCTTTACTATTTTTTTAACATTGGCAGAGAACTACCAGAAATACAAGCTGGGTTTAGAAGAGGTCATTACACTAGAGACATTACTGTCAATGTCAGATGGATCTTGGCAGAAAGCAGAGTACCAGAGGAATGTTTATCTGTGTTTCATTGACTATGCGAAGATATTTGACTGTGTGGATCACAATAAATTGTGGCTAACCTTGAGGGAAAAGGAATCCCAGAACACTTAACTGTGCCTATGCAAAATCTATACTTGTATCAAGAAGTAGTCCTGAGAACAGAGCAAGGAAAAAGTGCATGGTTCAAAATCAGGAAAGGAGTGCATCAGGTATGCATCCTTCCTCCACATGTTTTCAATCTATATGCAGAAGAGATAATTTGGGAGGGTGGGCTTTATGAGGAGTGTGGCATCAGGATTGGAAGACTTATCAATAAACTATGCTATGCAGATGATACAACCTTGCTTGCTGAAACTGTGGAGGACCTGATGCACTTGCTGCAGAAGGTCAAGGACTATTATCTTTGACATGGATTGAAGCTCAACATCAAGAAGACAAAGATTCTCATCACTGGACCAATTGACAGCACCATGATAGATGGAGAAGAGATTGAGGTTGTTAACAATTACAGCTTTCTCGGCTCCAAAATCATCACTCTTGACACTAGCAGTAAAGAACTCAAAAGATGAATTGCACTGGAAAAATCTGCTGTCAAGGACTTTTCCTGAGTACTGAAATGCAACGATGTCAGTGATTTTTGAGGTATCAACTCAATTAAAATGTATTTTTTTCCTCCCAAATGACATTATTGGTGGTTCAAAGATTATTCCATATGAATGAGAGGGCTCAGAAATTCAGAACCAAAGCAACAGTGTCTGTATTTTCACAGCTTCTAGGACAGTACTTGAGATTTTCAACCACGCACGGCTAGATAACACAGTCAAATATCTTTGACAAAATAAAGAAAACCGGGTAATTGAGTTCTGAGGTACTAGGCAGTAACTGATCATCAGTCTAGACTTAGATAATAAGTCTTAGACTTATTTAAGTAGACTTGTGATAAGCAAACTCAGTACTTAATGAAGAAAAAGACATGCTAAAGGAAAGTAAAGGTATACTCTTTCTTTTCCCCCGAATATAATGCACCTGTAATAATGTGCATAGGAAAGTAACAGAGGAGTTTACAAGATCCATATGACATGGTTGTTATGTATAAAAGACAATAACAATTTAAATTTCCTAAAGTAAAAAACCCTCAAAAGCCAGAATATATAAAATTCCTGGCAGCACTTACTTATAACACGTTCCCTCAATTGGAAATTGTTTACAGTTATTACAGGGAATTCCAAGGTGTTTGTCTAGCCGCTCCTTCTCAGCTGCAGTCACCAGTTTGCTAGAGTTTTTAAACTCCTCTAAAATAAGATTTAACGGTGCAAATTCTCTCCTGCACAGAGGACATTTCAACATGACAGTGTTCGTTGTTGTATCCTGGTAATCAGCTAAGATCTTCATGCATTTTATATGAATACTATTGCCACAGCCATATCTGTCAGAAATAAAATTCAAGTTTACCATTTGTATAAAGCAAAAGTTTATCTATATATATTTAAAATATGTGTATGTATATATTTTTGTACTATTATCTTTATTTTACACAATAAAGATTTAGGACTGATTTTTCACATATAGCTTAATTGTATACACACACATGCACACACATACACTGTTTATCTCTCTGTCTACATATATTTGGAACACTGGTGACCTGGTAGTAAGAGGTTGTACTGTCATCCCAAAGGCAGGTGATTCAAATTCACTAGTTTTTCCATGCGAGAAAGATCGCCAATCTCTTCTTCTATGTTCTAAGGACGTGATAAAAGAGTTTGCATCCTGAAACTATTTTTCATTTGTAAAATACTAATGAATACAGTCATGAAGGGGTTGAAACCAGTCTTCTTCTGAGAGGCAAGGATTTTGAGACTCTGTTTCAAATATTTTGGGCATGTTGCCAGGAGGGACCAGTCCTTGGAGAAGGATATTATGCTTGGAGGGGTAGAGGATCAGCACAGGCAAGGAAGATCCTGGATGAGACAGACTGACATACTGATTGGATCAGGATAGGGCAGGGTTCAAAGCTATTCTTTATAGGCTTTCTATGAGTCATAGTTGACTCGACGGAGCTTAACGGTAAAGCATGTAGTCATAACACGAAGAAAAACGACAATATTTTTTAAAAATTAAATACTTGAAGTAGGGTAAGTGCACCACCTGATTGTTCAGCATCACGCAACACATGCTAGTGTCTGTGAATGATTACTAAAAGAAATGATATTTTGGGAAATATTTAATCAATGATGTGAAAACATGCAATGGATGAAGTCATGAAAACTACAATGTGGATGAAATTTTTGGTAAATAATCAGGAGCAACAGAAAAGAATAAATTTCAATAGCAAATGGTTGCTCAGGATTTTATGTCTAACTACAGAGTGTCTTCAGTATGAGACTCATAATAGATTTGTACATAAATAAAATCTAGATTGTTGTTGTTGCTGTTGTTGTTAAGTGCCGTCGAGTCGTAGGCAACTCATAGCGACCCTATGAAGGAAAGTCCTCAACACTTGCGTGACTTTCATCCTTTCTCCAGGTTCATAGATTAGCTACATAGAATTTAATAGAGGATTATGGAGTTTGGAAATATGAAAAGAATTTTTATAGTTAAAAGTAGAATCTTCACTTTCAGAAAACTCTTTGTAAATATCCATTGTCACTAGGTTTATTCATGCGTATAACAAAGGAGCTACAATCTCTCATCTTGTAAAACGTCAAGGAACAACAATCTCTCACAACGCCTATGTTAGAAAACAAGAGTGTCAACAAAGTCAAGATCTAGGGTAGGCAAAGTTTCATTTGTTTCTCTATCAGCATGCCTCAAAAGAATCAAGTGATAACCTATGTAATCTTTAGAATTCAAAGGAAAACAAAATAAATCACCTGCAAAAGGTGACAGGAAGCTTTTTCTCCAAAAGCACTTCTTGACAAATGGAGCAGATATCCTCTGAATCAATCTCCTTCTGTTTGATGTAACCATCTTTTTCAGCATATGTGTTTTCCTCATTTGTTTCTGGCTGAGGAGTATGAACTCGATGTATCCCCCGGAGCAAATCACTGATTTCTCCTTCCATCAGACCCAACTGCAAAGCAGCTAATGAAAAATTCCAAGGAGTTACAATTGGAGATACCTTAATTACCCAGAAATATTACAAATTAATGGCTTTAAAGAATAGAAATTTATTTTCCCAATTAGGAGTCTATACACTTAAACTTAGGGTGCTGACTTTCAGAGGAAGGCCTGTCAGCTTCGCAAGAAGGTCCTTAAGTCTATTCTCTGGTGATCTGCATTTGGTGAGAGATAGCTTTCCTCCTCTATGCTTCTCTTTCTTAATCTGCTTTTTAAATATTTCACAGGTTACTGGGTTGAAACACCTTACACTGATAAGGGCTTTCAATATAACAGAAGAAAATTCATTCCTAACTGGGATTATAATCATAGGAATATTAAACCAAAAATCAAATCACTGCTATCAAGTAAATTCTGACTCCTGGCAACTTTCCATAGGTTTCCCAAACTCTGAACCCTAAAGGTAGGAAACTCCATCTTTCTCCCACAGAGTGGCTATGGATTCCAAACATTTTGTTCAGCAATGTAACAAATATCCAACTATTCCATTAAGCTCCTTAATCACAAGCATTTTATTGTTAGGCATTCTCCAGTTGACTCTGACTTACAGAAACACTAGGTCAGGGAGCTCTGGTAGCTTAGTGATAAGAAGCTGTGGTGCAATCCTAAAGGCACACAGTTCAATACCACCAGCTGCTCCACAGGAGAAGGATGGGCAATCTCCTCCTATACAATTAACTGACCCTTAAAACCTGCTGGAGCGTCAGCTATGGGTCAGTTCTGACTCTTAAGACACTGGCCCTCAACAAGATGGTCTGGCTGCAGCAATGGGCTCAAGTATATCAGGGATGGGGAGATGGCACAGGTTAGGGCAGGTTTGGGTCATGATCAATTCAGTGGCATCTGACAACAGCATGGCAACAGAACAAACAAGTCTGTCCTGGAGGAAGTGCAACCTGGGTGCTACTTAGAGGCAAGGATGGGGACATTTCATCTTGGATTTGTTGTCAGGAAAGAGTAGTTCATGGAAAAAGACATCATTCATGTTTGTAAGGTGGAGGATTGGAGAGAGGAAGACAACAAGCTGGATACACAAAGTGACTGTTAGAACGAGCTCAAGCATACAAAGGACGGTGAGGACGGGGCAGGATAGTTCACAGGGCCACTATGAGTCATAGGTGACTTGATGGCATCTAACAACAAAAATACGTGCAAAAGATCAAAATTTTGCCTGAACCTACACCATCCTTACCACCTCTGTTGTGCTTAAGTTTACTGCTGTTACTGTGTCAATTCAACCTGATGAATCCTCTACCGATCCTCTACTTGTCCAGAGATGACACATCCTTTTCCACAGAGTGCACCCTAAGAATGTGAGACCGTTTAATCACCCTAGTCATTGTCCAGCTTTCTGATGCATAGCAAGTAACTGAAGACCGTGGCCTTGACCAAGTGTACTTTAGTCTCCAGATTGACGTTGCTGCTCTTCAGTACTCTGGAAAAGTCTCTGACTTTTCCAGTGCAATTCATCTTTTGATTTCCTGGCTGCTGGTACCAAGAGTACTGATTGTGGAATCAAGCAAACTAAAGCTGTTTACATTCTCAATTTTCTCACCATCTATCATGATGCTGCCAATCGTCCCAAAGGTGAGAATCTTTGTTTTCTTGATGTTGAACTTCAATCCATATTGAAGATTGCAGTACTTGGCTTTCTACAGCAAATGCCTCAGGCTCTCTTCAGTTTCAGCAAGCAGGGTTGTGTTATCTGCACAACACAGGTTGTTGATAGTCATGGGTCTTCCTCCAATCCTGATGTCACGTTCCTCCTCATAGAGGCCTCCCTCCCAGATGATCTGGATGCCTTTTAGCTGTGGTGTTGTAGAATAGTACTGAATATCCAATGGACTGTCAAAAAAACAAACAGTTATGCCTTGGAAAAAGTGCAACCATTCTCTTGTCATCCTGATTCACTGTCCAGCTTTCCAATCCATAGCAAATGAATGAAAAGACTATGGCATAAATCAAGTGCACTGTAGACTTCAAATTAACATCACTGCTCCTCTGTTCGTTGGAGAGGTTCCGGACTACAGACTTTCCCAATGCAAAACATCTCCCAATCTCCTTACTGCTGGTCCTAAGGGTGTCGACTGAGGATCCAAGTAAGATGAAATAGTTGACAATTTAAATATTTCTCCTACCATGATGTTATCTATTGGTCTAATGGTAAGAATTTTTGTTATGGTCTCAGCAAGTTCTGGCATCTGGAAGATAATAATTTTGACTCTCCCCTGCTTCTCCTTGTTGTTGTTATGGGCTGTCGAGTCACTTGTGCCTCACAGTGACCTTATGTACAATAGCCTTGAAACCTGCTCTGTCCTGTGCCAACCTTATTGTCTTTGACACACCTAACCTCATTACCCCAGTCACTGAATCCATCCATCTCATTGAGGGTCTTCCTCTCTTGCACTGTCCCTCCACTCTTCCAAGCATGATGTCCTTCTCTAAGGACTGGTCCCTTCTTACAACATGCCCAAAGTATGTCAGATGAAGTTTCAGAATCTTTGCCTCCAAAGAGCAGCTTTGTCTCACCCTCTGTAGGACACCTAGTTTGTTCTCCTAGCAGTCCATGGTATATTTAATAGTCTTCTCCAATACCACAGCTCAAAGGCATCAATTCTCTTACTATCATCCCTAGCCATTTCCCAGCATTCTGATGCATAGCAGGTAATTGAGAAGACTATGGCCTGATCAGACACACCTTAGTCTCCAGACTGACATTGTTGCTCTTCAGTACTCTGGAGAGGTCCCTGACAGCAGACTTTCTTTTATTTCTTTCAATGCAATTTATCTTTTGATTTCCTGGAGCTGGTACCAAAAGTGTTGATTGTGGAGCTAAACAAACTAAAGCTGTTAACAATGTCAGTCTCTTCACTATCATAATGCTGCCAATCAGTCAGTCCAATGGTGAGAATCTTTGTTTCTTTTTTAAAAAAATTTTTTTCTACTAGTTTATTTACAAAATTTGAATACATTGTTTTCAAGAACAAATTCTTTCATTTGTTTCTTGATGGTGAGATTCAATCCATATTGATCGGACAGCAACATGAGACAGCTGTGACTAGGAATTGTTACTCCACAGAGCCAGAGCCAGTGGCCATCACCCAAGCTTGATGGAGGACTTATGGATGCTCTCATGATTGACAGGACTTAGAGAACTTTAAAACACTGACCTAAACCATGAGGCTGATGGTCAAAAGACCTGAAAGCACACTTGATAAACTAGCTGATTTGTAACAGATTAACTTCCCTAATAAACCCCATCATTGAAAGTATGGTTCTATGACGTCTGTGTGGTCATAGGAATGGCTTTTGGGTCCTTGTGCAGAAGTGTCAGGTCTTCAGAGGAGACAGCTTTGCCTTTGCCTGAGAAGAAAATCACGAGGAGGTAGAAGAGGGAATAGACACATCTCTCTCCTGTAAGTAAAGATCCCATACAAATTCAAGGGTCTCCCTTCTTTCATGAAGGTTTAGATCATCTCACTAAACAGAGATAGTTCTCTTTTCATAGAGTGTCCAGCTTCAACAAGTTTGTAAAAAAAAAGAATGGATTTTGGACCCAGGAGAGTAATAAGACTGGTGTTGAATTAATAGAAGTAGGTGCAGGCCCAGGGAGATCATGTCTGACCTTACAGGAATTAGTTTTGTATTGTGGATTTTGTTGATGAGGACTTTTTGCTTTATAGAGTAAGCAGAGATCAGATACATCCATCCCCATGCTGCCTACACTCTGTGTACAGATGGCAATCTCCTCTTGTGTGATTTACGGCCTTTGAAAACCTACTGGAGGGTCAACTATGAGTTGGTTCTGACTTGAATGCACATAACAACAACTAGAATTTAAACAATACAAGCTGATTCTAAATACATAATTAAACACTTACATAAAAATTGTTTAAAAATATTTTCCATAAAAACTTAAATCAGTGAATAAAATGATATATCAGCTATCTATAATTGGCATCTAAGTCATATTTGCTATTTTTCTGAAGACTAAGGAGTGTAGATGAAGTAGTTATTTCAAACCTTTGCTTAAAGATTTTTTTTTGTATTCAATTCCTGAACATTTTTTCACTCTTATTTTTATGAACTGCCTTTGAGCTCCAAAATGGCGCATAAAGGTACATTTTATACTAAATGACAAAAAAAAGTTGTAATTGTTTAAATATAACAAGCTAGGACATGCAAAGTTGTCAAATTATTTAGAAAAAGGAGTGCCTAAATTTAGAATAGGTCTAAATTGAAAAAAATTTAAATTTAATTCAAAATAATTAAAAAAAACCAAAACTTACATTCATGATTCCTTGGAAGTTTAAATTTTTTCAACAAGACCCTAATTTCAGGAGTAGAAAGAAAGAAAGAAATGAAATATTTATTTCTGACACAACATCAACATACACCATTTGGTTTTAATTATGTGCGAGCAACAACATTATAGTACTTATATTGCTGAAAGTATTATGAACAAACTTTAAACTCCAGTCAGCTCTTCTCTTAAATTTGTTCTAAAAATTATATATGAAAAAGGGTGATTAATTAAAACAAAACACCTTTATAGTAAGCAGTTTGCCAGTAGGAATCAATGTATTTCTTTATGACATATAGCCATTGACAGAAAAAGGTGAGATAATTTAGGTATACATATTACTTTTGGTAAACTTCCCTGGATATGGCAAGCCTTGATATAGTATCAAATTGCCCTTTTCCGACATATATTTAGGAAAATCACTATACAACATAAAAATATTTTCCAACTTCATGAATTAAAATATGTCTCTTTATATATGAACGTTGGAAGCAGGAGTGGCATTCACTTCCTAAACAACATGCCTCTGGAAACTCTATAAATTTGGATAAATGTCGATAGTTGTATAGGGCTTCAGGTCTTTTGTTCATAGAGTCACTATGAATTGTGCTTGACACGAAGGCAATCAACAACAACATCATGTATGAAAGGGATTACATTCCCATTGATTTTATGAATCCACCAGCCATTTCACTGGGGAAAGATGAGAAGTTCAAGTTGGGTTTAAAAGAAGCCATGGCAACAGGGATATCATTACTGAGGTGAGATGGATCCTGGCTGAAAGCAGAGAAGAATGTACACTTGTGTTTTACCAAGTATGTAAGAGCATTTGACCGTGTGGATCATAACAAATTATGGCTAACATTGAAAAAAAAATGGGAATCCCAGAACACTTAATTATGATTCTACAAAACCTATCCCTAGGGAGCTCTGGTGGCCTAGTAGCAAGAAGCTGCACTGCAATCCCAGAGGTGCGTGGTTCGAATCCACAAGATGCTCTGCTGGAGAAGGAGGGACAAACTCCTCCTGTACCAGTCAGATCTGATTTGAAGTACACACACACAAAATAATAAAATAAAAACTCCAAAACAAAACAAAAAAAACCACCCACAACCCATAAACCTATCCCTAGACCAAGAAGTTGTTGTCCAAATGGAGCAAGGAACACTACATGGTTTAAAAGAAATAAAGGTGTTGTATCTTTTCTCCATATCTATTCAATCTGTATGCTGAACTAAGCATTCAAGAAGATGGGCTCTATGAAGAATGAGGCATTGAATGAATGAGGATTGGAGGAAGGCTCATCAACAACCTGTGTTATGCAGATGATATAATCTTGTTAGCTGAAAGTGAGGAGGACTTGAAGTACTTGACCAAGATCATGCAGATCATCAAGTACTACAACCTTCGATATGAACGGCATTCACCTTACTTGGATCCATGATCAACAACCCTTGGTTCAGCAGTCAGGAGATCAGGAGACATATTGTATTAGGAAAGTCTACTGCCAGGGATCTCTTCAAACAGCTGAGGAGCAATGATGTCATTTTGAAGACTAATGTGCACCTGATTCAGGCCGTGGTCTTTTCAATCTCTTGCTATGCATTTGGGGGTTGGACAAGGAATAAGGATGAAGAAGAAGAATTGATGCCTTTGAATTGTGGTGTTGGAGAAGAGTAATGAATACCTTTCATGGACTACTAGAAGAGCAAACAGATTAAATCTCAGAAAAAGTGCAGCCAAAGTGATGTTTGGAGGTGAGGATCTTGAAGCTTTGTCTCACAAACTTTGGGCATGTTGCTAGAAGAGGCTATTCCTCAGAAAGAGACATCATACTAGGAAAGGTGGATGGTCAGTGAAGGAGAGGGAGACCCTTAATAAATGCATTGACATAGTGACAATAGCAACGTGCTCAACTGTTTCAGGGATAATGAGGATGGCACAGGGTAGAAAGGGTTCAGATTACTTGTTCAGAGAGTCGTTATGAATTATACTTGATGGCACACAACAATAATTTGCGTAATTAAATACTTAAAAGTATATTGGTAAGCCATAGTCATTCAATGTCATATTCCCCAAACACCAATTTTTTATTAAAATCTTGTAGTGCTTAAATCATGGAATTAAAAAAATGAGTCACACACCAATATCTGAATTCCAAGGTCACTTACCAGCATATATGCTTACAAAGATCCCTTTCTTTCAGAAATGTGGGACAGGAACAAGAATGAGGATTTCCTAGGAAAACCTTTAAAAGAAAAATGGTTTAAATCAGTCTGGTTAATTTTTAGTTAGAACCAAACTAATCTAATAGAGTCTTGGATTAAATGGGATTCAGAGAAATAATATAGTTTGTGGCTGCTGTTTTTATGTACTGTAGAGTAGGGACCAACTAATAACTGATCCTCCGGTGGGTTTTCAGAGGCTGTGAATTGCCGGAAGATTGCTCATCTTGCCCCCGAGGAGTAACTGGTGGATTTGAACTGTGTCTGCCTCTAGGTTGGTAGGGCAACTCCTGATCACTAGACCTCTAGAGTCCCCAAAGGGGAATCTGCTGGGAAATTTTAAGTCTTGACTGATTTTCACTTTCACATTCTTTGTTTTGGTCAGCACGGCATTGCCAATTAAGATCTCTTTCGAGTGAAAATTTTAGGCCGGTGAAAAATATAACTTATTTTGAAGGATGACAGAAGAATAATTAATGCCTTTGAGCTGTGGTGTTGGAGAAAAATACTTATATCTCATAGACTTCCAAAAGAACAAGTATGACTTCTAGAAAGTGCTAGAAAATGCAGATAGAGTGTTCCTTGGAGACAAAAATGATAAAGCTTCATCTCACATACTTCAGGTATGTTGCTAGGAGAGACTTTTCCTTGGAAAGGGAGATCATGCTTGAAAAGGTGGAGGGTCAGCAAAATAAAGGAAGACTCTTAAGTCTTAAGCAGTGACTGCTGCAATGGGCTCCTGACACATGTTAAAAAGTGTGAAGCTGGCACAGGCTAGGACAGGGTTCAGATCTGCTGTTCACAGGATTGTTATGGGTCATACTCAACTCGACAACACCTAACAATAACAACAACAACTGGGAGCTATGCAGTAAGAAGCTGTGCTGCTGACCCAAAGGTATGCTGTTTGAATCCACCAGCTGCTTCACAGGGAAAAGATGGGCAATCTCCTCCTGTGCATTTTACTGCTTCTAAAAATCCACTGGAAGGTCAGCTATGAATTGGTTTGAATTCAAAGGTACTTAATAGCTACAATTAATGAATTAATTATCATCAATTTTCTAAAATAAAATGGTTGAATGAAAAACCAATGTAATTCATAAACTTTCACTCAATTGAAAAAACTCAAAGAAATTACTCTGAGGACTAAATTGTACCTGCCCCAAACCATGGTATGTTCAATTGTCACATGTGTATGTGAAAAGTGGAGAACAAGAAAGACTGAAGAACTGATGTCTTTGAATTGTTTTTGAAGAATATTTAACACTGACCAAAAAATTTTAAATGTATCACAGATCACCAAAGACTCAACACATCTGTCTTGAAGTACAGTTCTTTAGAAGGGAGAACGATGAGATTATTCTCAACTACTTTGGACATGCTGTAATGAGGGATCAGTTTGTGGAGAAGACAGTTCATTTGGTAGAGGGTCAGTGAAAAGAAAAAAAAAAGGCAGAGCCTCAATGGGATAGAATGACACTATGGCTGCAAGAATGAGTTCAAACAAAGGCCTGTGACAATGGCGCAGATCTAACCGTGTTTTGTTGTATGTGTACATAGCATCTCTAAGACTTAAAATCAGCTGTAAGGCATCTAACAAGAAGAACAGCAATGACCAATGTTGCTGGGTCAGCAACAAACCAAACCAAAATGTGGTTGTGTAACTTCCAGTTGGAACCAACTGATAGCCAACACTCCAGCAGGTTTCCAGAGGTGGTTAATTACATGGAAGAAGACCACCCATCTGTCTCCTGTGGAGCAGCTGGTGGGTTTGAACAGTGTGCTTCTGTGATTGAAGCACAGCTTCTTACCACTAGGCCACCAGAGATTCCTCAAACAAAATAGATGCCTTGAACAAACACTATTCAATGACTGATAAAAACATGATCAAAAAATGGACTACAAGTTATAGACTGATATGTTGTTGTTGATTGCCTTCGAGTTGAGCATGACTCACAACTCCTAGCGACCCTACGAACAAAAGGCCTGAAGCCCCTCTACATCTACCGACATTTATCAAAGTTCATAGAGTTTCAGGAGGCATATTATATAGGAAGTGGATGACCACTCTTACTTCCAATATACTAAACTGTAATCAGAGCTTAAAATATATGACAAAAAATAACAAGAACATGTTTACACAGAGATAGATTCAATCTTAGAAGGTCAACAGGGATGAGAAGGGAGAGTGAGGGGAGTAAAAAATAATAAATAGATAAAGTCTGATGAAGGGAAAGAGAATCTACAAGAAAGGGTTTGATTAGGCACTGTAATAAATTAATCATATTAATCAATGATAAGAATTAATTTTATAAAACTAAATATTGATGAATGATTTCATGAAAAACCACTATGATTTGTAAAATTTAACTAAAAAATAATAATAATTGAAAATAAAATAGGATATATGACTCTAAAGTAAAAAATTCCAAATCAACTATTGGGAGATAGTTGGCGGACGCTTTCAAATGGTGAGGGGATATGCAAAAAGGAAAGATCTGTGTTTTTTTCAACAAAATTAATTTTATTCGTTCAGATTTTTAAGACATCACCACTTACATCCATTTTTCAGGGGTTAGAGCTAGTAAAGAATAATGGGAAACCGATTTTAGTTATTTAAATGTTTAAGGTATGCATGCAGATTATAGGAGTGTCACTCTACCAGGTCTAGTTTCAGAAAGAGTGAGCTTTGAGTCAGACAGCGATGAATAAATCAAAGAATGGCTGTAGTACAAGCCACATATTAATAGGAATCAGGACACTTTTGGTAGCGTAGGGGCAAGAATCTGCAGTCCCGAAGGTATGTGGTTCAAGGTCACCAGCTGGTCAATATCCTTCTGCAATTAACTGCTTCTGAAAACCTGCCGGAGCGTGAGCCACGGGATGGTTTCTACAGTACACAACAACAAAGATCGAAATCTATTATCATAAAAGAGTTGGATGCAATCTGAAATGCTACCCTCCCCAAATCAAAGTTTTCTATTTCCTGTTGTAATTTGCACATCTCTGGGGTCTCACATAGGTGTAGGGATTCGGAGGACTTTGGGCTGTCACAATGAGTCCTCTCACGGGCAATGAGGATCGTTCTATGCTCCCGTGGGATTCTCTGCCTCTGAAGACCCACTGCAGGGTCAGTTCTGAGTCGGTTCCAACTCGATGGTACACAACAACCACAGACAGGGACCCGGTCAGCCCAGGGAGAACAGTTTATAGGGAGGGGAGATGGGGGCCGCAGTTACTCGGAAATCCCTGTTGTCCGGCTCCTCTTCCCTCAGCAGGAAACCAGTGGGGCCCATCTCTCGTAGGAGGTAGATGCTGCTGCTCAGCGCCAGGTCTTGTTGCCAGCTGAGGCGGTCGCTCGCGTGTCTTCGCCTTTCAGATCGCTTATAGCCTGGGCCGTGCATCCCGCCGCAGTGCGGGCGGCGAGGTCCCCAGTCCGGGACGTGCGCGGGCCTCCCTGGCAACGGCGTGCAGCTGGTTTCCCTGGTGACGGGGGTGGGGCTTGCGGTGTCCCATCGTGCCTTGCGCGGGGTTTATGCAGTCCGTGGAGTGCTAGTGTGTGACTATGGGCGTCGGTCCTCTTCCCGGCTTCGCTTGCCCTTCTACACAGAAAAATCCTTCCAATGTGGGTCTAGTGCCCTTCCACACGGAAAAGTCCTGCCAATAGCTGTCTGGCTGGCTCAAAACCTGGCAGCCAAAGGCATATAGTTGTCATCTATTACAGATGCTTTTCTTTAATTTCTTACCAGTACAGCTAGTGAAAAATGTATTTGGATAGCAGGGTGCCTCGATTCCATTTTTAGCCGCTGAGTGCTAAAATACTGAGATTTAAAAATCTTTACAAATACCAAAACAACCTATTGTTATTTCCAGTTGATAGACAACTATTGTTGTTATGTGCCTTCGAGTCGCCTGGGACTCCTAGTGATCCTATGTACAAAAGCCTTAAAACGTGCTGTATCCTGTGCCAATCTTACTGTCTCCGACACTCACCTACCCCCATTACCCCAGTCACTGAATCAATTAATCTCATCGAGGGTCTTCCTCTCTTACACTGTCCTTCCACCCTCCCAAGCATGATGTCCCTCTCCAAGGACTGGTCCTGCCTTGCAACATGTCCAAAGTATGTGAGATGAAACTTCAGAATCCTAGCCTACAAGGAGCAGCCTGGCTTCACCCTCTCCAGAACTTGTTTGCTCTCCTAGCATTCCATGATATATTCAACATTCTTCTCCAGCACATCCATTATCCTCCTATCATTCCTAGTCATTGGCCAGATCTCTGATGCGCAGCCAGTGATTGCAAAGACCATGGCCTGTATCAGGCACATCTTACTCTCCAAACTGACATTATTGCTCTTTAGTACTTTGGAGAGGTCTCTGACATAGATTTTCCCAATGCAATTTGTCTTTTTATTTCTTGGTGGCTGGTACCAAGAGTGTTGCTTGTGGAGCCAAGCAAACTAAAGCCATTAACAATCTTAATGTCTTCACCATGTATCATGATGCTGCCGAACATTCCAGTCGTGAGAATCTTTGTTTTCTTGATGTTGAGCTTCAATCCATATTTAAGACTGTCCTTGAACTTCTGCAGCAAGCGCTTCAGGTCCTCCAATCCTGATGCCACACTTCTCCTTATACAGCCCAGCCTCCTGGATAATCTGTTCCACACATGGATTAAAAAGGTATGAAGATAGGACACATTCCTGGCATACACCCTTCCTGATTTTGAACCATGCAGTGTTTCCTTGCTCTGTTCTGATGACTGCCTCCTGGTCCAAGTATAGGCTTCTCATAAACACAGTCAAGTGTTCTGGAATACCCATTCTTCTCAGAGTCAGCCAGTTTGTTGTGATCCACAAAGTCAAATGCCTTTGCATGGTCAATGAAACACAGATAGACGTTCCTCTGGTACTCTCTGCTTTCAGCCAAGATCTACCTGACATTAGCTATAATATCCCTAGTACCACAGCCTCTTCTAAACCCAGCCTACACTTCAGGCAGTTCTCTGTTGATGTGTTGTTCCAGCTATAATATTCCTAGTACCACAGCCTCTTCTAAACCCAGGCTACACTTCAGGAAATTATCTGTTGATGTGCAGTTTCAGTAGTTTTTGTATAATCTTCAGCAGAATCTAGCTTGCATATAATATCAATGATATTGTTCAATAATTTCTGTACTCTGTCGAATCACCTTTCTTTGGAATGGGAACAAATACAGATAGATCTCTTCTAGTTAGTTGGCCTGGTGGATATCCTCCAGATTTCTGGGCACAACTTGGTGAGCACATCCAGGGCAGCGTCTGTTTGTTGAAATATGTCAGTTGGTATATCATCACCTATAGGACATAGCAAAACTACTGCATAGAGCTTCTTATGCTTTGATCTTTATAGAAAGGAGCAGGGGTTGCCACACATTAAGTGGTACATTTTCCTAACAGAAAGCTCAGCTTTAAAACCAGCAGCTGCTTCTTGGAGCAAGATTGGAAGTCTTCTGTCAAGACAGACAATCTGGGGGGCCCATCAAGGGTCATTATGAATTGAAATGGACTCCTTGGGACTGGGTAATCTTTATAGAAGCTGACTGTCCTCCCCTTCCCCCAGGGGCTGGTGATTTCCAACAATAGGCCTTCCCATTTGAGTAGTTAACCCTGCCGTCAGGGGCTCCCTCCTCTTTCAGAAAGCCCTATATCTTTGTTGGTGTTGAGCAGTATTCCACACACATTCTTATTGGCTGTTGTGTACATGATCCCTGGGGGGAGAAACTAAGGATGAGGAAAGACAAGAGATCTAAGTCCTAGAAAGTAGAGTCTTAAATCCAGTGTCTGTGTGCATTGTTCTTAAAGCAGGGGTGCATCTCTAAAATTCAGTTTGTGGGTACAAGTGTGCTGTACATGGGGTTGCTGTGAGTTGTACTCTACTCGATGGTACCTACCAACAACATTTGTGTGTATATATAAATTAATATATATGAATGAATTGAAAGTTTTTAATATATATTAATGCATATATATGAATTAATTTGATAACTTTGAAAAACGAGTAGTGGGGAGCTCTGGTGGCCTAGTGGCAAGAAGCTGCACTGCAATCCCAGAGGAACACGGTTCGAATCCACCAGATGCTCTGCCGGAGAAGGAGGCGCAATATCCTCCTGTACCAGTCAGATCTGATTTGACGGTACATGCACACAAAATAATAAAAAATAATAATAATAAAAAAGAAAAACGAGTAGCGATAGTACATAATTGTAAAGAATGTATCTTACTTCTTATAATTAGAAACTGATACTTGATGCATATGTTGAAAAATACCCTTTTAAAAAAAATACCATTTTTAAAAAGACCACATGTGTAAGATACAATGTTGTTGTTGTTAGGTACCATCAAAGTGATATAGACTCATTGTAACCACAGATCTGAACCTTGCCCTCTCCTGCACCATTCTCGCAATCTCTAATCTGCTCCAGCCTGTTGTTATAGTCACTGTGTCAATCCATCTGGTTGAAGGTCTTTCCTCTTTTTAACTGATCCTCTACCTTTTCAAAAATGATATGTCTCTCCTAGGACTGGTTTCTCTTGAGTATATATCCAATGTATGTGGGACTAATTTTCCCTATCCTTGCCTCTAAGGAACATCTAGGTTGTACTTCCTCCAAGACAGACTGTGTTTGTTCTTATGGCAGTTCATGGAATAGTCAATATACACTATGCAATATCCAAGATTTTGTCCATAGGCTCTTTTAGTATTGAAACTCAAGGATTAAATTTGTTCTTCAGTTATGTCAGCTTGAGAAATGCCATGTGCATTTTTCCGCTTTGACTTTCCAGCTCTTTGTACATTTCATTATAACACTGTTTTGCTTTTCAAGCTGCCCTTTGAAATCTTTTGTTCAGCTCTTTGAATCCAGCTTTTCTTCTCTGTAAGACACAATACCCATCAACAAACAAATGGATAGAGAAGCTGTGGTATAGTCACACAATGGAATACTACGCTGCATTGAAAAACAAGGAACTTATGAATTATTATACGAATTGGGTGACCCTGGAAGACGTTATACTGAGTGAAATATCTCAATCACAAAAGGACAAATAATATATAATGCCATTATTGTAAAGTGGGACAGACATAGGGGTTGGGGGAACATTAAGAAAAGAGTGGATAAATAATGTATACTGCATTGAAACAGATGAGGGAGAGAACTATTTAAAAGAGATACATGATTAAGTATTATTATCATGACAGGAATCCAAAATGAAGGCTACATAGTGGAGTGGACTTGGGGGAGGGATTGTATAACAATGAAAGATTTTTTTTAACTTTTGAAGAGAAGAGCAAACTTGGTGGGGGGAGGAAAGTGTGCAACAATGGAAATTCAAAGTCTCTGTAAACTTCCATTAAAATGAATAAAAAAAGAGTCTGACAAAAAAAAGACACAATAGACATGTAATTTGAATAAGCTCATAAACTCCTTTCTGGGGTATTGTAAAAGTAACAGTATTAAGGTTTGTTGTTTTTTTCTTTTTTTTTAAGAAAATAGGAGTTTAAAAGACGATGCACAGATTGCTAGACAGAATTTCCATCTAGTTGTGAGACATGTGTTTTTATATCTGTCAGTTAAGACTGTATTTTCATAGCCAGGTGACTAGCTCGTATGCTTATCTCTGAAGAGTGTTTGACGGGAGCTGTTGTTTCTGTGTGCTGCTGTTCTGCTTTCCACGTGCAAGAGCCCTCATAGGACCTATATGATTTATGGAGGCAGAGTGCCACCATTCTCTCACAGGGTGATTAGTGGGTTCCAGCCAATGACCTCAGGGTTAGCACCAAATTATTAACCACTGTGCCACCAGGGCTCTTTGTGACATAGGTTATGATTTTCAAGTAATAAACTAGGAAATTAAATTTACCCCCTAAATTTAAAGTGTTCCCTTCCAAGGTATATTTTGAACACTATTTTCCCAGGGAAAGAAAGGGTTTTACTATTTGGTCCAACAAAGCCAGTGATAAATTTTGGGTTCATTTTTAACCTCTTAGCAATACCCCTTGTTCATGAAATACAGGAACAAATAAATTTCTCCAAGTTAACATAGAAAAAACTATATATGATGTATTAGACTTTTTTAGTTTTGTGGAAAAGAATACCAATACTATGAGAAGAATAGCTTGCAGAATTCAATGGAATGCAGTTTACCGATCTCAGTTTGACTGTATGTGTGTCAAGTGAGGCTGGGAAAATGCAGAGCTATGGATTTAAACCTTGTCATGGATTGGGAAAAGCCTGAGAACACCTGGTGTAAATGAGGGATGGGCTGTGTACTAGTGTAAGGGTGCTTGAGAGGTGCAGGTTACTTGAAACCTTCATCTCAAGTGTCATGTCTAATTCACGGTGAACACTAGGCAGAGGATTGG